AGAGAGAGAGAGAGAGACAGGTTAACTTAGACTAGAGTGCTTCAAAAGACTTCAATAAATCTTTTCAAAGTTTTAAAAAACCAAAACGAAAACAACCTAACACTAAAAACTTTAACTTTTAATAACTCTGATTTGATCAGGTAGTTAAGTATACTGATAGCATTGGTTGTTTCACTGTGCTTTTTGGAGTGTATTTGCTGCAAATCCAATTATGTTTCAAATAAAACCGGCACTTACCCTCTTTCTTCCAGGAATGCCACATCAGTGTTCAAGTCAGTCCTGGCACTCCTTGAACTGCCCTGTGAACATAAAGTGCCCTAAATTAGATTTTGTGTTAATCACATAAATAACCTTTAACCTCCTGTCTCAGAGGCAAGTTGGCATTTGTCCCAGAGCTATTACTACAGAATAATTTCCTCTTACCTGTCAGCTGCCTACAAAGCAGACTAGTCACTAGCTGGGCAGGGACAGGAAGGGTCCTCCTCCTCTCTGCAGGTTCCTGCAGATCTTCTGCAGTCTCTGTCTCTGAGGATCTACCAAGTTCCCACAGTCATTGGGGTTACCCTTAGTTCACCCAGGAAGTAGAGCAGTTCCCCTCTGGCCTGGCTGCATAACTAGCAATAAAAGATTGTTGTAGCTTAATTTGATCCCTATTTAAAAAAAAAAGTCATTAGTAATTGCATAGCTTTGCACTGACCTGGGCCTATGGTTTTTTATGCCAATACTTGAATGGACATAAACATGTTAAATGGGTGTAGAAACAAGTAGAATGGGGGGGAGTGACGGGGTGACAGGTGTATCTACTGGAGTGGGCAATGTGGATGAAACACCACATTTGAGTCCCATGGCACAGTGAGAATACCTGCACACTTGCCACCAGTGGCGTAAGAGTCAGACACCAGTACAGATACACTCTAAATCCAGAGCATGCCAGTAGCTACAGGACAATCACGTGAAATACAAAGATCAGAAAGCTACAGCAATATTGCCCCTCTCTCCCTTCCTCCCTCGTAAAATATTCAGTGAAGGCTACAGGAGAGAGAGGCAGCAGCAGTAAATATGACACAGTCATGCACACGGTACGTGATTCCCCCACCACCCACGGGGTTTGTCACTCACATATGGGAATGAAAAAAGAAAAGGGCAGCATGTATGGGTGTCTGCTCAGGCTTGAGGTTTTACAAGCCTGTGCAATATGTGAGATAATATGTTGACAGTATTGCAGTAGGGGAAATATGAATGGGTGGATAGAGGAAGCAAGGTGGCCATAAAACTCTTATGCACTGGCTCACCTTCAGGCCATGCTTTTTCAGTACAAGGGGTTAAACTTCTTCGGGAGAGACAGAGGAGGGTTTGGCAATCACTAAATCAGTGACACACGGTGGCTCCTTCACTGCTTTGCACCCTGTCTTTTTCTCTGTCCTGACACTGTGCTGCCTGGACAAGTGAGAGTGGAAAGTCAGTGAGTGAGAGCTCCAGTTGGTCCCTTTCTGCAACTTCTTCAGGTGGAGCATCCCCCTCTCCTCACTGTAATCTCCTGACATTGGAAAAATTAGCAGTCCTGTGTCATGGATCAAGAAGTCCTGCAGAAAAATGAGGCAAAACCACCCAAGAAGGGTTTGGACAGCTACACAGTGGCTACTGCTTAAAGTAGATGGTTGCTGCCCTTCTGTTCCTCACAAGCAGATATTTTGGTGGCTGCCAAAATGACCAGGAATTGCTACTGAAGTACTAATGTCACTCCCTTGCTTCTGAGGCATTGGGATTACTCACTGCCAAGATCAGTGGTGTTTCCATTCTCTGAGGGCCTCCTGACCATGGCTGCTCTGAACTCCTTCCTACAAATGATACCAGTGGAATAATGTGAATATTGCTCTTCCTTCTAGAGCCTGCAGCAACCATTATCCCTTTCCATCACCATGGGCCAAGGGGCGTTCCCTCAGGGTACTTCACTCAGTTCCCAGTCTTCCCACTCTCCACTTGTTCTGCTCCTTTCCTATATAAGCAACTGTTTGTAAAACACTGATTGTGATTTAGCAGAAGACCACTTTTCTGGTGGTCTTGCAAGCTCTCAAATCAGTGCACTAGCACCAGAGGGGGAAGGGTTTTTATAGAGGAAACTTGTTAGCATCAGAGAGGAAAGAAGGACAATAACCTATTTGAGTCTGAGAAAACTGGGGCAATTGGGGACTCGTCTGCCAAAGCCTTTTCACTTCACAGTCACTGCCAGGACATGTCAGACCAACTATTCAGTGCTACTGCAGTCCCAGCAAGGATCTGGGACACAGAGCAGCTGCAACATCATGGCACCTGAGCAATTGAGCACCATTTTATCCAGGTTTTGCTGGATTTGCAAGAATTTACAAGAATCTGCAAGAAAATTTGCAAATTTTCTGCAGTCTCTGAAGTTTCTTGTTTGGTAGGAGACAGTGATGGCTCCTTCCCCCTTGCCAGTGCTCGCTTTTGCTGGACCTAAGGAGGGGACTTGTCACTTGAAATCTCTGAGCCTGTCCACCCCTGCAGGGCTCAGTCTTTGTGCAAGTGGACTGGAATTTTGGAGCAGTTGCAAACACATTTCTGGCATTCTTGCAGTACAGGGGCCACCACATTCAGAGGATGCCAGGTCATGCTGCTGCTACATTTCGTATCAAAAACAAAGTGTTGTTGCTTTGGTACTTACCTTTCACTCAGGAAAGACCTGACTCCTGCAACCGGTGCGTTCAACCCGAGATGCACCTGCCTGCAGCTCTCTTGCCGGCAGCATGAGTGCTCTGGCCGGCTGACTCAGCTCCTGGATGGTCAGATGTGACTGGGAAGTACAGAACAGCATCCTCTGGGACATCTTGCATGTGGAATGAACACGTGCTCACTTCCTGTCCTCCTTCCTTTCTTTTCCACCCCTCTGAATCTTTCACACCACAATACTCCATACCCTACTGCACCCAGCACATGGCACATGGCTGTACACACATCCCACACTCTGTTTGTGCCCAGGCACCCCGTCTGAATGCCCACGTGGACAGCACATCCCATGACTCTCCAGCAGTCACCTGTGCTTTGTAGATTAAAAGGCTGGTATGAAGGTAAAAGGCTGGTATGAAAGTAATCCTGTTCCCCACGAAAGGTCTCAGTGAAGGACATTAGCAGAGACCTAGGGAGCCCCTCCAAGTGCTGGGCCAGGCGAGGGGGTGACGGGGACAGGATCACAAGAGCAGTGCATTGCTCTGGCACCAACACCAGACATGGGTCACAGATATCAGCTGGAGCTAACAAAACTGGATATCCCCACCTGTGCAAAGTGTCTCCTTCTTCCAGCATCAATGCTCCATGGACTGGTTGCAAAACAGTTCATAAAACTTTCTAGCTCCTTGGGCAGCAAAGAAAGGGACCCACAAATCAGCATCTGCAAGTGCAGAAGGAAGGAACGGAGGGAGGGAGGAAGAGCAAATATCCGAACTGTGACTTTTGTTGTCTCTGCAAAAGACTTTTTTTTTCTACTTCTCTTATTTCCTTGGAAAAAAAAAAAAGACCTTTTTTTCCTAATTTTCTTCTTTCCTTGTAAAAAATAAACAAAAACGGGCAGCACAACACTTCCTGTCAAGTTTTGACCCAACTGCTTTGTGCAACAGTGCTGAAGAAAGGGAAGTTTAAGATGGTTTTAAACTCGCCCAGTACAACCATTGCTAATCCTGTACTGGGGTACAGTCCCCCCATTCCTCTCCCCTGACAAACCTTCCTGATTAGTTTCTGTCTTCACACTCAGGCTGACTTCTGCACCCTAATCTCCAAACAGTGACCTCATTGCCTTGTTCAACTGGTGAGAAACTACAGTAAAATGGGAGAGGTAAACAAAGGGGGGGGAACTAATGGCCAGAAGATTTAGGAGGTAGGAATCTGCTCCTTGCCGTCCTGCTTCCATTGTGTGCCTGAGCTTGAGAAAGTGCAGGCTGAGCCTCGACAAGGTCTTTTCTGTGACGGTTCCTCTGGAAACTCACTCCAGTCCTCCAGATGGTGACTTGGGACAACCAGCCTACATATTATATACCCACTAGTACTAGTCCCAGGGTTCTAGTCACTGCTTGTCACTGCTACAAATTCCATATAGTATCAGAATTCACCCACCTTCTGCAGCAGGAGCTCTTCATTCCCAGGCCAACCGTCTCACCAAAATATAAATACTAAAACCAAATGCCTGTTTTGTCACAGAGCTGAATCTGTGTCTGCTCTGTGCAGCCAGCAGTGTGCCCACCGCTAGCTGAGCTGTAGTTCATGCTCATGCTGATTAGAGAAACAGCAGTAACAGCACTCTGCCTACAAGGAGTATGTTCAATACCATTACACAATGCAACCTTCAATATCCTCCTTTGGTACATGTTTCAAAGTGTCACCCCGTTCCTGACCCTGACAGATACCTCCAGGTCCTGGGCAGCAGCAGCTCAACTCACATTGAGTGAGTTGAGTTGAAGACATTAGTCTTTCCAGACACTCAGTAAACACCTTTGTGTCCTTTTTCTTTAGAGGAAGGGGTCTTGCTGAGCTCACCCTGAAATATATCACCCTGGACAAAAGGGCTGAAAGGTTAAGGAGCTCCAGGGGGTGGATCAGGAGGGAGCTGGGGGCCAGGCACCGGCCAGAACCAAAGCTATAAAGGCAGAGAGGGGCAAGGGACCGCATTCGACACGGATGCTGCATGTCCTGCCTCACATCCCACAAACCCTGGGATAAGAAGAAGATGCAGGGGCTCCAGTCATGGCCTTGCTCGTTTTTCCTCCTCTTGGTTCTGCTCTCTGCCAGCGTTCAGACTGTGTCCTTACCAGGACAGAGGCTACAGGTAGGAGGGACTGGGAGAGAGCTGAGGGAGGTTTCAGAAGTGGAGTGACAATTTGGGGAAGTTGTGTTTGAACCTCAAATGAGTGGTGGTCCCAAATTTCAACTACTGGAGGCTGCTGTCTATTCTCACTGCTCCCTCCCCTTCAGTCCAGCAGCCTCAGCTCTAGGGTGACTTTATAACCCAGCTCCTAAAGAGCATTAGCATTTCAAGACGGGAAACACAAAAGCTTTTTAGTGCTCTGCAGAGGATTTTAACGGTAAAGAGCCTGCCCCATCTAACCCTGCTCTGTGTCAGCAATGACCAGAAATCACAGGTGTATCTCTCATCATGTTCATTGCCTGGTTCTGACGTTTCAGAGAGAAGATGTATCCTGTTTGGCCAGGATTTTTGCTCCTAAGCTCAGTATTGCCCCTCAGTAGACACTCTTTAAGGCCAAGAGCCGCAGTCAGGATGCCAGCTAAAGGCTTCTTCACTTGAGTAAATCTTTTATCCTCAGTAGTTTCAGCAATAATATTTTTGGCTTTCAAATCTAGACAGCTCCCTCTTACCCAAACCCTAACCTGAGCCCCAACACCTTGCCTTCACATAACCCTGGGAAAACTCCAGGGAAGTAGTCAGGACGTGAACTAAAATCACAAGACTGATCCTGGTATGACTCACCACTTTCACTCCTCGCTGAAGATGCCCGTGTCCGCTTCAGTTAACTCGCTACCGCAAAGAGCTGCACAAAGGCATCTCCAGCCTTAGCTCAGCATCCATGTGAGAGACAGATGTGGAACGGTTACCATAGGCTGCTTCCTAGGGCAGCCAAGCTGTGCCTCTACTGCGCCCAATGCACCCCTCAACCCTTGTCTGCAGGCTTCCAGCAGTGCTGGGGGTGTACAATCAGCAAAGATGATCTAGAGGATTCCTGGCAGATGGGGAGTCCCCCTTCCTCACACCTGCTGTGCTCCTGCCTCTCCCTCTTACCAGCAATTTGAGACAGGTCCATCCTTCCCACCAGCCTTCTGGAAAAAATGAAATGCCACACAGCAGCCTGAACACACAGAGGTGCTCAGCATCCACAAGAGGAGCAAGGACCGAAGCCTGTTACCTTCCAAATCCAGGACTGGGAGGGAGGTGTATGGCTTCACAAGAGCAGGACAATCTGCATGCAGGCGGAGGCTCACAGCAGGTGCCTGCTTGCTGTTTTCGACAGCAAAGTCATTTCAGACAGCAAGAGCTGGTGATCTAGCCCTTCCCTCTGTCTGGATGCAATGTCACAGGCACAGTGCTGTGTGCAGGCATCACTTTAGGTCCTGCCTGACCCCTAAGGAGGGTGCGGGCAGTGGAGTACAAGGGGGTACAAAGCTCATAGCCAGGAGCAAAGGGATCTCTGCTCTCACCCCCCTCTTCCTTCTGTTTATCCCAGATGCTCCTTTCACGGTTGCTGCCTCTGGAGCCCGAGTCCACACTGGCCGAAGAGGACACAAAGGAGGGGTCCAGCTTTGGGCCTCAGTTGGTCTTCTCCACCCTCCCCTTCCTCCCATCTGGTGCTAGAGCTGCCCGTTCTTATCTCTGGCGCAAGACCCTCGCCAGTCGCAAGTGGGCATTGCCTGGAGATTGGGCCTGGAAGGCCATGCCCAGGGGCTGCTTTGGGCTGAAACTGGACCGCATCGGGACCTTCAGTGGTTTGGGGTGTTAGATTTGGAGGGGCTCTGAGGTGAGAGGGCCAGCACTGAGGGGGCTCGAACAAGCGGGCAGGGACAAAGTTAAGGGGAGACTTGAACGCACAGATAGCGAGCAGATGGGGGCAGCGGGGCAGGCTGTGGGGCCACCACCTGCCAGCAGCCAGGGCCAGGGCCGGGACCAGGGATCCCCCGCGCTGACGGGGCTGTGCTGGGGCCCGGCCGGGGCGGGAGCAGGCGGGCGGGACGCCGCTGGGCGGCTCAACAGCCCCGCTTCTCCACAGCCAGGGGCACCTAGGCTCGGGAACCGGCACGGCGCACCGCTGGACGAAGCCCCGAAGCTCCCGTCCCGAAGGAGCGCGGCGGCGGCTGCGGGGAAGCGGCGCGGCGGTACCGGGAGGAGCTGCCCAGCTCCGCAGCTGCTCCCCTCGGCCGCTGGACACCCGGCTACGCCGGCAGCCCTCTCCCCTCCTCCCCGCGCCTGAGGACTCGCTGATTAAACACGCTGTACTGTTTGCCGCGTCCGAGCTCGGCGGTGGCCGCCCCCCGGCCGCGGGGCGGGCGGGAGGCGGTGGCAGAGCGGGGCCCGCGCCCCCGGCCCCACGCGCGGGTCCACACCGGGCTGTGCCGCCGCCGCCATTCCGCGTGGGGCGGGCGGCACGCGCGGCTGCGGCGCGGTGCTGCCGGGGGGGGGCGGGACACGGGTGAGGGATCGACCGGGCACCGGGGTAAAAGGGCCGCGTTGGCTCATGCCGGCCGCACTCTGCCCCCGCCAGTGCAAACACAGGGGCCTCCTGTTTGCGCTGAAGCTTCCCCCGGGGAGCCTCCCTCGGTGGGCTGCGGCTAGGGCACCACGGACCCCGGCACGCGTTCGCAGCCCCGCTGCTGTACCACGAGAGCCATCATCATCCTCTGGCCTTTAAGGAAAGGTTGTAACCTCAGCTGGGTCTAAACTTAGCCGCAAGCACCTCGGCAGTACCGGGAATAGCAGTGGTATAAGGAGAGTTGGGTTACGTTTGAGCTGTGTGACCCCTCTCTGCCCCCCACCCCAGTACCTGCGTCGTTCCCCCAGCCCGCTCCCCCCTCTTCATCATCAAAGACCTGCTCAACCGAGCAGCCAAAGGGACGTTCCTCCTTCCACCTCTCCCCCCCGCCCTCCGCCAATCCAGATTTCCATCCGTTACAATCACCGGAATCTATTAGAATCACAGACTCTGAGTTGGAAGAGACCATACTGTTCCCACACCTTCCTCCTGGATGGAGGGGATTTGGGCGTGCTGTGGGCGTTGTACCTAACGCGGGTTTGTCCTGCCGCCCGTGCCCCGCACCGAGCCGGCAGATGCAGCCCGGCAGGACTCCGAGAGGGAGCCCGGAATGGGGGACGGGGAGCTGGGCAGCGGCCATGCCAGGAACCCTTCCTCCTCGCAGGCAGCCGGGGAAGGCGGGCCGAGGCGGCAGACGAGCAGGATTTCCGCCGTCACGTCCCGCGGGCAGCGGCACCAGTGCCGCAGTGCCTCATTAAGATGGTGCTCACGCCGCAACTCGGCCGGGGCCCCTCCAGGACACGCCTGGATAAACCCACCCGGGGAGGGTCCCAGGCGGGGGGCGAGAGAACTCCCAACCAACACCTGCAGCTTCCCAGCGCCGGGGGAATGGGAGATGCAAAGGGGCTGCTCCCTCGGGGTGTCCCCAGCATCCCTGCAGCCGTTTTCCCCTTGCTACCACAGAATTATAGAATGTTAAGGGGTCGGAATAGACCTTAAAGATCATCTAGTCCCAGTCCCCCTGCCATGGCCAAGGAGACCTCCCACTAGACCGAGTCGCTCAAGGCCTTATCCAATGTGGCTTTGAGCACTTCCAGAGTTGGGGCATCCACGACCTCCCTGGGCAACCCCTTCCAGCGTCTCACCACCCTCACAGTAAAAAAGTTAATGTTAATATCCAACCTAAATTTCCCGTCTTTCAATTTGTACCCGTTACTCCTTGTTCTATCACTACAGTTCCTATCAGAGAGTCCCTTCCCAGCTTCTCTGTAGGTCCCCTTCAGATACTGGATACTATTCCATGCAGGAGGGCGCAGGCTGCAGCCGAGGGTTGGGGGGTGCCTGCCCTTTGTTACCAGGTGAAAGCAGCGTACGCCATCCCCCGGGGCAGCAGCGAGCCTGGCAGGGGCAGCCCATCACCGGGCGGGGACGGGGGGGCCCCTCCCCGCCTCCTCAGGCAGGGCCGCAGCCGCCCATTCTCGCCTTGGGGGCACCTCCCCGCAAAGACCAGGCCATCTCTCACCACCGCCATCCCCACCGCCATCCCCACCGTCTCGGCGGGAGGAGGGTGAGTGCCGAGCCCCGCGGACCCGCCGTTCCCGGCGTGAGGCCTTTGTTGCCGGGGGGCGGCGGGGCGGGGGCCGCGGGGGGGGTCTGGCAGCCGCACCCGCAGCGCGAGCGCACGTAGCCCGGCCCGGCCCCCGCGCTCCCATTGGGCGGCTGCGCGGCGGGGCGGGCCCCAGCCCTGCCCTTCCGTGCCTATAAAGGGCGGCGGAGCGGGGCTGCGCCACCTCTTCACTGCGCGCTCGGCGGCTTGGAGGCAGCAGGTAACGGGCGGGGGCGGCGGGAGATGCGCGGGGTGAGAGGGTGGCGGTGGGGGGTGGGCGTGTGAGATTTCCCCCTCCCCACATATACACACACCGCCCACTGGCGGGGGGGCGGCAGCCGGCGGCAGCCTCCGGGCGGAGCGGGGCCGCGTGGCGCCGGGGCCCGCGGGCACAAAGGCGGCGCGGCGCAAAATGGCGGGGGTGGCATGAGGGGGGAGATGGGGACGTGGGGGTGCGGGATGATCACCTGAGGAGGAGAAGGAGGAGATGGGGGCGGGTAGTTGTCGCGGGCTGTGGGGAGCAGGGGGGAGGAGGGGAGGGATGATGGCCCGGGGCGGGGGGATGATCGCCCGGGTGGGGGCGGGCTCGGAGCGCGGGTACCCCCTCGCCCACCCCCCTCGCGCCCCCTCAGCGAGGAGCGAGACGCTAACGGTGCCCGGGGCGCGCGCGGCCGCGGGGGGCGGTTGCGGCCGGTTCCCCTCAGCCCCTCAACGGCGGTTTCTGCCCGCAGGAACATCCCGAAGAAGCAAAGATGGTGAAAGTCGGAGTCAATGGGTGAGTACCGGGGTCAGTGGGGTGCGGAGGGACTGGGGATGGGGGGGGCAAGGTCGCCTCAAGGGCGCGGGGGAGGATTTGGGGGGGGGGCGCTTTGAGCCCTGCCGGTCCCCGCTCTGCCCCACCGGTCCCCGCTCCGCCGTCGTCCCCCGGGGCAAAGCGGTACCTGCTGAGTCACTTCCCTGCAGATTCGGGGTGACTCACCCCGGAAGGCGATGCCGCTGCTTGGCTGCCCCAATTTCCCCCCACGCATCCCCGGGGATCCCCGCAGCCTCCCACCGAAAAGTCGCCCGGTGGATCGTGTGTCGGTGACCGTCCCGGGGATGTGACCTTCTCGTGCCGGGCCGAGGAGTAACTGGATCCCCGGGGCCTCAGTAAATTTAGCACTTGACCTTTCCGGGGTGGGGGTCGCTCTTAATCTTTAACCAGGGTGCCTTGGCCTTTGGACAGGCTACAGGGCTCCCTCCTGCCCTGCTGGGCAGGGAGGAGCGGATGATCCCGAGGGAAGGCTGCCAAGGACTGCCTGCCATGCTCAGCCCAGTAGGTTCCCTGTTGTGCCTTCACACCCGTGTCCTCCTCTCTCTCCAGATTTGGCCGCATCGGCCGCCTGGTCACCCGGGCTGCCGTCCTTTCTGGCAAAGTCCAAGTGGTGGCCATCAACGATCCTTTCATTGATCTGAACTACATGGTGAGTTGCCTTGCAGTGCCCCCTCTGGGCCTTTCTGAGTAGGGCTTCTCTAGATCTGTTCTAGTAGCTTCCCAGGAAAAACGAGTGTTACAGGAGGATGGCAGCCCAGGTACCTGACCTTCCTCTCTCTCTCTCTCTTAGGTTTACATGTTCAAATATGACTCTACTCATGGTCACTTCAAGGGCACTGTCAAGGCTGAGAATGGCAAACTTGTGATTAACGGGAATGCTATCACTATCTTCCAGGAGTAAGTAATCTCTTTCCCTCTCACCCCTCTGGAGCATGAAAGTGTGTGTCTCGTGGAGCAGCTCTTACAGTTCTATCCCTCCTCAGGCGTGACCCCAGCAACATCAAGTGGGGAGATGCTGGTGCTGAATATGTTGTGGAGTCCACTGGTGTCTTCACCACCATGGATAAGGCCGGGGTAAGTATGCCACAGTGGCACATGAGAGAAGGGATATACAACCACTTTTGCCTGTGGGGCACGTTACCACGTACAGAATTGCTCAAGATGAGGCTGTAAGGGAGAAGAGGTGGTGAAGAAGCAAGCTTGGAGGGATCTTGAGTTATCTAATGTCTTACCTCTTCCTTTCCAGGCTCACCTGAAGGGTGGTGCCAAGCGTGTTATCATCTCTGCCCCCTCAGCTGATGCTCCCATGTTTGTGATGGGTGTCAACCATGAGAAGTACGACAAGTCTCTGAAAATTGTCAGGTAAGGAGAGAGGAAAATGTTTTCTGGCCTGGAGCTCTCGCCAGCTGCGTGGGGTCTCCTCTCACCTCTGGCTGATGTGCCTTTTTCTCTCTACCCCAGCAATGCTTCATGCACTACTAACTGCCTGGCACCCTTGGCCAAGGTCATCCATGACAACTTTGGCATCGTGGAGGGTCTTATGGTAGGTCTGCAGCTTGGTGCTGAGAACTCAGGGTGCCCTATCCACAGGTCCCCTCATATGAGAGGGAAAGCATCAGTAACTCCTTGTGTCCCCTGGGATGCTGTTTCTGGAGAGTACTGGCTGTGTTCTTACTCCTGTGCTCTTTTCTCAGACCACTGTTCATGCCATCACAGCCACACAGAAGACAGTGGATGGACCCTCTGGGAAGCTGTGGAGGGATGGCAGAGGTGCCGCTCAGAACATTATCCCAGCATCTACTGGAGCTGCTAAGGCTGTGGGAAAAGTCATTCCTGAGCTTAATGGGTGGGTGCCCCTTCTTGGTTATGAGTAG